GACTCTTAACACGACATAAACTTTGAGTTATTTTCTATATTCCTTTCAGCACCCATGTATTTTCTTTGCTACATTGCCAAGAAATTCTCTTCTTTAAATTAGCTCATACATGCAATATCTCAATCGGCATTTTCTTTATATTATATAGAGTCCCCCCCTCTCCATTAAAGGTCTTATATGTTCCGTTGCGCTAAAACTCCAATAGGTCATCCCCCCCCCCCTTATTTCTTAACCATTGTGACAATGAAAACTTTATTACTCTCCAGCCTTGATAAAAATAAAAGAATTCAGCAAAATAAATCACGTGATCACGGATCTTAAAAATGCTACGGCGCTAGTTCAGCTATCTAAAAATTTTTGAAGATAAACTTATACCTCCAATAGTTATTTTTTACGAGCGCTTGCGAACGTTCACTCTGCTGAACAGGCCTCGGAAACTTCAACAAAGCGCTACCTGTGATTTTTTAATGTTGGTGTTATACGCCCCCTGGTGAGAGATTGACAATGTGCATTGTATCTGTGAATGATTGATTGATTGATTGTATAATGTTTAACGTCCCTTTCCAGAATATTTCACTGATATGGAGACGTCACCATTGCCGGTGAAGGGCTGCAAATTTAGGCCTATCCTCGGCACTTACGGCCTTTGAGCAGGGAGGGATCTTGATCGTGCCACACCTGCTGTGACACGGGGCCTCGGTTTATACGGTCTCATCCGAAGGACCGCCCCATTTAGTCGCCTTTTACGACAAGCATGGGGGTACTGAGGACCTATTCTAACCCAGATCCCCACGGGGCTATCTGTGAATGAAAGTGGCTTTATAATGATTAGTTACATTATTCACCAAAGCGTTGACAACACTTAGAAAACTAACTTTTAAGAACTGGGAATTAACCCTCATTACATGTACATGTACATCCTGCGATTGCGATTTATAGCAACTTTTTGTTTATTTTTGAAAGTTAATTATACTACACGACTATAAATATTTGCCCTAATTATGCTATTTGCCACCGGACATAAGACGTGTTCATTGCTAATAAAAGGGTTGAAAGTTATTACTGATTGCAAAAGACATCACGGGATCTCTCGATCGAGTTTGATTTTCTATGACAAAGTATTAAGACATTCTCTTTTTAAGTTAATTAATACCTGAAAAAAATCTTTTATGAAAACACTTGATACATCTGTAAGTTGTAAACTTTTTAAAAAGTTTTTTATGGAAACAACAGGACTACTTTTTATATAACGAAACATTTGTTTTTTTTTTCTCTCTCTAATTAACAGATTATAAAAGCTCTGCTCTCAAAGGTATATTCTGTACTCATTTTTTGATAATTTACTACAAACGATCATAAAGATCACTTACTTTTAGTTTTTTTGTTAAAAAATATTAGGGCGCTTTAAGTAGTAAAATTAATTTTGAAAAATTAGGAAAGAATAATATTGATCAGCATTGTGACCTCTTCTTGAAATTTACCGATATCATTACTCATAGCTACAAAAAAATCTTGGCAATTAGCAAAAATGTAAGATGTATATTTAATGCTTATTTAAATTCTAAAAATTTGATTAATTCTAATGGAATGTATCATTAGTTGTGAAAATACTTTTTTAATTTGATTTTTTTTTCAATTTTTATTTTGAGCGTTTGAGAAGAAATAAGAATTAGAAGAAAGGTATTTCAGGTATATTGATAGAATCAATGTAAATTGTTTAAGCGACATATTAAAAAAAGTGTCATTGATAATATGGCTTTTAGAGTGCATTTGAATTTAAAAAAAAAATACTAGTTTGGTGGATTAGAGAACTACTTTCCTTTTCACATGTTCTATTTGAAAACAATTTTGCATTAAGAGTATTTGACAAATGCTTACTATGCATCCCCATCTAGACATATTGTGGAAGACTTCATTTTAGATGGCTGATATATACCATTTACTTATTCGACTATTTACTTGTTTGAAAAGTCGATGATGTACATTTCCTAAAACTTGATAATCTTGTTTACTTGCCGGTCTTCCGGTAAGAGTAGTAGTTCATGATATTAATAAAGGGAAGTCTTAAGTATTTGCATTAAACTACATGATGAACAATGATCGATATAAGAAGAAAAGCTGACCCCGGAAAGTTCAAGAGGTGGGACCCGATGACTAGAAGAAGTATGCGTTAACAGGTAACACTTGCAGTGAGTCTACGCAACTGAAGCTCTCTGATATCAATTCATTTACAAAGTCTCTGCTCAGCCATCCCTTTCTTCTGGCTAGCCAGCTAGTGATCTACACTACTCCAAATCCTTTTATCTATAAAGTTTGACTTGTCTTTTTTTTCTTTTTGAGCTGTTTGCTATAGGAGCCTTTGCAATTACCTAATTACCTATTTAAAAGAGCATAAAAGACAATTAGATTTTCAGCATTAACATAATTGTTTTCATCCAGAACACCTTTGGCCGGGATTAATAGCGATTTATTTTTAAAATTACACTTCCTGTCTTTCAAGCTGAAGAAATCTAACGTTTGAATTTTGAAACATGCATCTCAATCTAATTAAAATTTAGTAAGATGTTCCAAATTTTCTACCTTTTCTCAAACATCTAACATCCCATTCGGGGTCACGTCAGAGCGATCTTTCGATTATGAATAAAACTAATATTTTTGCCAAGTAGATTCAAGCCTTAGATTCAAATCTGAATAAGATTGAGTAAAGAAAAACATGGACTTTGAAAACAGAGATGGGATGAAAGAATTAGTATTTTTTATTGGCCGGTCAAACCTATTTGAACTCTGAGTAATGTTTATGCAGGTCATTGGAATACAGGAAATGAAGGTGATGAAGTTGAACTTTTACCATTGATTAAAGAACTACGTACGCTACCTCCTGATTCCCGCCTTCATTTTACACATATTTGATTCATTATTAATGACAATATGGCCATAAAATCTTTGTTGAATAAAAAGATATGTTCAATTATGATTGATTAACAATTTTATACCAGTGTAGAATAGTGAATTATCCCTTATTATAGCTCTTTAAAAAAGGGGATAGACGATATTTTCCGTTGAAACTGGGCTTTAGACTATCACCGTATTTAAAGATATTTTTAAATGTGAATAAATCTTCCTGACCTCTTTTCCTATGTTTTATGCATATGAAATTAAACATATGTCATTAATAAAATACTACGTTTTAGTTAAAAATAAAAAAAATGTCATTTTTTTGTCAGTAAACATATGCCCTCCCCCCACCCCACCCCAACCCCGTGAAACACAAAAAGCTTTGGTGTAAATTTGTGAAATGATAGTGTATATATTACCTGTATAAAGAAATATTTTTTTCTCGGGGGGAGATGTTTTAAAAATATTTTCCGTTTTCCGTTCATTTCTATAATGAAAAACGCGAGTTTTACCAAATTTTAGGGTTATCCCTCTTTGATTTCCCAAATAAGTAATGTTTTATGAAAATTCGTGTAAATAAAATATAAAAATATGGAAAATCATTCAAACATATTAACTTTTGAAAATTAACTTGGAGGTAGGCGGGAAAACAATACTATCGTTCGTAGTTCTTTGTTACTCTGTTTTCCAGAGTTGGGAGTTTACTTTGCATCCTTTCTGCTGTTTGTAGAGGTTTAGAATTTTGCTCTAGAAAAGAATAAAAAGATTTTGTTAGGATATATATCAAATACATTGAAAAGTTATTGGAAATAAGAAAATACTACGCATGTGATAAAAAAACATTGCAAAAAAAAACATTGATATTAGTAGTATGTTTGATTTATATTGCCTTTAATTGGAATATATTCATTCAGGTCAACGAAATTCAGCAACTCAAGCAGCATATTTACCTTTAGTTACATTCATTACTATATTTTCCAGTCTCGTGAAATAAGATTGCATCCTCTCCAGTATTGGAAGAATCTTCTTATCTTGTTCTGGAAGAGAGTATAAATATTTTTATAGTGAAAAATGATTTAAACGAAGATATACACATTTATCCCATGTTTACCCCTTTATCTCGTGAATATGACTCATTGGATAAAATTTTCATATCTCATAGTGCTTTTATGACGTCACAATGGTTTTTGCGTTAGCGTGATTAAATAAAATAAAGTGGAGTAAAGCATAATTACATGTTTAAATATATTTGATTATAACAGTAACTTAATCCGAATGGTCGTATCATATCTCATTGACAGGTGCAGATCATCAGATCAATCGAAACGTGAAGCTAGGAGTTTGATATAATTATCCGCGCCTGTTTACGAGACGTTATACGGCTTTTCGGATCATGTTACTGATGTAATGATAAATTGAAATGGAAATATCTTTGAATCAGAAAAAAAATCAATAATTTTCTTAAATGTCCTATGCGTGTTATTGCAATCTATGTTAAAAATTTCTTATAAAAAAATCTCAATCAAGAAGAATGATATTATAATATCAATGAATTTATCGCACAACCCTTATTGGAAATATACCAATAGTAGATTTTTGGGGTTGTATATTGAAATAACATCATTTCATTATAAATTAAAGTTTAAATAGCTCAAACAAATTTACTTTGCAGGGATATAATAATTAAATATCCTTATGTTTAGCTGAGCAAATTGATTCATTTTATATTTTTTAACACCCTCTTGAGAATGTTTCTCTCAAAGACGCCACTAACTCCTGGTGGAGAGCTGCAAATCACGGCGCCACGAACAAGAATCGATCCTGTGCCTCCCGATCTACAATCGTAAGGCAGATAGAAAAATCCCTAGAAGTAAATAAACTAAATATTTACCATTTGTTATATTCTTTACTCTGTTTTCCAGATTTGCGAGGTCACTTTGCATCTTTTTTTCTATTTGTAGAAGTTTAGAACTTTGCTCTAGATAATAATTGAAAGGTTTTGAAATGATGTCTACTAAATAAAATATAAAGTTATTAGAAGTTGTACTGAAGTCTCATGTTAGGCTTCTTGCAAGTAACATAATATTAACATGTCATCAATGATTACCGTATAAATAGAATTTTTAGGGAGGATTTAATTTTGGCATTATAAGCAAGGGTGCTTGAATATTGCTAAATATTAATTGGATATTTTTGTAATAGCTTCTTTAATAGGATTTTAAAATCGATAAATTTACTTCTCGCTAAAATTAAAATACCAGAATTTAGATAGAAGTCACTTAATTTGCGTCTCGCTAAAAATGTCCACGTATACGGTTTTTTTCTTCAATATCTTTTTGACAAATTTAATATTTTGATTTATTATTGATAATCAATATAAGAATTACTAATTTTACTTCATGATTTGTAAAAAATCCTTCATTATTGACATGCGCGGATCTGATTTGAAAAGCTTTTCTGATCTAATAATAATAATGATAATAAATAATAGTATTATTAAACATACATATTTATACAAACCTCTAACCATCTTTCTGTTCTGTGCTTTCATGTTTGATTGAAAGGCACGCAGGTCCTTCATAATCTGAATATCATTCTTTGAACTCGAATACAACGGTTGCGACATTGTACAATGCAGCATTACAAGGAGCTCGATGACCGAAAAGATCATTCTTTTAGAAATAAGAATATAGGCAGTTGAGGAGTTCATCGCGATTAATTCTGATTCCGATTAGTACCGGTTTAGATTAGCTTTCAGATGTATTTCAACTAAAATGCATTTTATATATGTGCAAGTACCACGTGGACCACTGAAATATTTTGATGTATATCTCTTTTAGATGATAAATATTCAAAACAAGCAGGGATTTTTTTTCCTTCCTTTTTCCATTTTTTAAAGAGTCCCTTTTTTAACATCTAAATGATTAACGTACGGTATAAGTAGGCAGAACTGTGTACAATATATATATATATATATATATATATATATATATATAAAACAAGGCGGCCATGTGAAATCGTCAAATTGCATTTTATGTGTTTTACCCTATAGTTATTTATTTTTAGTGCAGAAAATGAAAAGGTTTATCATCAGACATATACTCAAGTACATACATTTTATAAATTCTTAACATTAATTGTACTTTTGTATATAATCACATATTGTTTACTAGCTAGTAATGTACACTCAACTTGATTGAAAAGCTTTTGATGAGTGTCTTTCTTTGACATACCTTTTTACAGTGAAAGAATAAAAAAATACAAAAAAGGGTTGTACAGTCACATTTATGCTCAATATAAACATAATATAAATATACAATAAAATATACTGAAAGGAAAAAGAAGCGCATAGTAAACTTTTGAATTAATTAAAACTTATTCCCAAAGTTATTTCAATTCTTCTATTAATTCATCTTTAATCAACAAGTTACCAAAATCTTGTTTGATTTGACTGATAATTCATGAGTTATCAACATTTATATGTCGATACCCCCCCCCCCCCAGAAAAGAATAAATTCCCTTAAAATCTTTAGACTCCATGCACAGGCGCATCATTAACGACATTGGATCTCCTATACATAGTAGTCACCAGAGCATTTGTCTTTCTCATGGGATTATTATTCAACCCTTCCGATGGTAGTCTTCATGGTTGAGAGTAGCTGTAACATTCTAAAGGCCACAAATACTCCTGTCCAATGAATCCCACGAAGTTTCGTTTTAGGATAGAATTTACAGAATCGAGATTGTTTTGTACACGTGAATGGTTTTAATAAAGTCTCGACAAACATTGGCTACATTTTCCGAACGTGAACATGCTACTTACATTACACTTACGACGCGTTTTTGCAAGTGAGAGTAAAATCGACGTTAAAGTTGCCAAGCTCGTGGACCTAATTCGAGCGGAGAGTTTTAGGTTGAATGTAACGAGTATGATTGTCAATAGTATAAATGTCGGTTTAAGCAATAATGTTTTTATGATTATCGAGGTGGCGTGTTGTAAAGGCCTATTTGACATGTTTGATGAGACAGTGTTACGCGCCAACGTCACCGACATGGTTGATTGGAAACATTTTAAGTTACTGTCAGAAAACTAAAAATCTTTTTGGACGAAATATTAAAAACAAACAGTAGCATGTTGTTGCCTTTTTATTAGCTTAAGCAATTTAATTACTAACCCCAATGCAACTTCCGTCAACCATACCATGATTTCAAGAAATTTATACTCTCTGCAAATATGGAAAACCCATGTTTTTTTTTTACACTAAAGCATGTTTTAATTTGGCACTGCAAAATGTGATCAAAAACTTGTCATCATCGACATGTACATGTTTTTGACTTTTTTTTATCACTTTCCCTACGTTACGCCACCATTTAATGGTTGATTGGTTTTAATAAGCGATTTTAGAGCAAAGTACACGTAATACACATCTGACCAAAATTCACAATTTTCGGCCACATAGACAAAACTTTTTCGCATATTACAGGTATACTATTACGAGTTTCTTTTTCCTTTCATCATAATATTAGTTATTGTACATGTGAACGAAAGACACGCGGGTATTTTAAGGCAGCACATGGACCAGAATTCGGCGAATTAAGACTTTTAGTTTTTTTTTTATAATTATGTAACACTAATAAATCGGAAAAAGTCAAGCATAAAACTTTTGTTATAATTATGCATTCTATTATATACTTCAATGGGACTTATACTACATGAAGCACTTCATCACGACGTCACCACGTGACGTCTATAATTAGAAAATATGCCTTAATGAAAAAGTGAAAAGTTCAACACTACCCCGGGGATAATTGATTTCAATTTGTAATAATAATTATGTAAAAACATCTCTGTACCATGAAAAGTGCTGCTAGAATCCTACTGTCCTATTACAGAAATAATTATTCAACACTTTCTAACGAAACTTTCCCAAACTTTTTTACATTTTGTTCATAACATCGTAAAAAATGCATTAATTCCCGTAAACCATACGATTCTAGCAGCACTTTCCAAAAACAATAGAATAAGAACTTAAGATAGAAACAAAAATTAAGTTTCAAAGTGTGCGGCGTAGTGTTGAACTTTTGCATCTTTTTTGTTACGAACGACAGAGGAAAGGCTGATCGGCAAGTAAACACCCTCCCTGCTTTAATTTTACGAAGAAATTGTTGAAGTATATTACCATACCTTATTCATAAGCTTTTATTCCCACATGAATCACACATGATATTCATTCTAAATGCTTTTAAACTCCGATTTCTTGTGTTTGTTTACATGAATTCTCGTTACATTTCAATTTAACTCTGCTACTGCATGACCAACAGTTATGACGTCACGGGTTTGGTATTTAACCCCTGTGTTAACTACAGAGACCCAGAAACGACAAAATTCTATTGGTATTATGCCTCTGCATATATTGATTAATTTTTACGACCTCAAATCAATCTTCGATATCGATTATAAGAAATTGTTATCTCTAAACTTCACGTCATATAGCTTACTATGACGTCATATCATAAAGGCAAGTAGAATATTTGGTTGTAACCTTAACTTACCTGCGCAAGAGAATTAAATAATTTTACATTTTAAGCTACATATGTACTTTAATAAATCTAAATCAATTTCTTATGTGCTTTACTTTTTTTCAAAACTTTCCCTTCTAACAAAATCGTGAATATATTAACCAAAAATGTATCGTACAAAAAATCCTGCAGGTCACAGAAAAAAGGCCCATTTTCTCTGTTGATAAAATTTTATATCTTTTGAAGATTTTGTTGCAGTTATGATAATGCTTTTGGGTCGAGTTTTATGCCTTATATATACAAAGAGTTGACATAAATCAAATGAAGTGCCCATTGTTGTACCTAAGTAGAGGTTAAGTTCTCTTTTAGTGTACAACTTGTATTTCTGCGGTCATACATCGAAATTGTATCGAACGATAGAGATACAGATTAGTAGCTACAGTTATTGTACATATGAAAGAGAAATAAAATTATGATTGGAGAGAGAGAGAGAGAGAGAGAGAGAGAGAGAGAGAGAGAATTACTTTAGCACATAATCATAAACAACCAAGTGTTACTTAGAAATGGCCAGGAGGAATTTCCTGAATTTATTAATTGGACACTGCTAAAAGTATCTTATAGGAAAATCTGCATGAAAAATGAAAGGATGATTGAATTTATGTCATCTTAAGTGTTTGCAATTGATGCCCAAAATAGATCCTGAGAAAAAAAAGAAGAACGAGGGATAATCAAAAGGATGCGATTAGATGGTTTAAGCGGAAGAAAACAAACCAAAATTGTTAATCTTAATCTTATAACATTTATCACTCAGATATTTATACGAAAGAAGCATTAAATTGAATGGATGGTTTTAAACAGAAGAGAAAGTTTAAAGATTTAAAATATGAGTAAAAAACAAATAATTTTCTATAAGGTATTTTCTCATTTCTTTCAATTACTGTAAATGTAAATCGGTTTTCTTCATATTTGAGAAAAAAACACAGAAAGTAACTCAGATAATATTATTGGCTTGTTAGAAAAATGGAGTTCTGAAACATAGTTTTAAATGAATTTTGCATATGGTAAGTAAATCAGAAATATTCTATTTTGAACGCCTTTTCTGGTTTACATTTTATGATTAGCCAGTTTTGTTAATTATTTAGAAGATGTGACCATTTTTGTGTTCTATACTAAACATGTTTATCATTCGTTCATTAACGTTGTCAATCTTCATGTAAACCATGCATTTACAAATGCACAGGTAACATGTGGTTGACAATACACATGCTCATTCGTCCATAGCATCTGATCCCACCTCTGATGTTTCGGAGGTGTCTGCGTTTGCTCTGCTTCTATTTTGTATTGTTTTATGGAATATGAGATTGAATACTGTTCGTTTTCTCCATATCCTTCTTCAATGACTTTAGATTAAACAGTAACACTCTTGTTATTCCTTAACTTCATTATCTATCTATCTCTAGATACTACTCGCCCTCTGATTATTCTGAGAAATTATAATGTAACTGAAAAAGTGACATAAATTATAGTTATATTTTTATATTATTTAAATAGTTTCTAGATTGTCAAATTATTTTGATACGTTATTTAAATCAAAACGCTAAGTTAGGATGCGCAAAATTTAGTTTTAGGCAACATGTTGCAAAACAAATGTAGTGAACATGATAATTAACAATCATATGGTTCGCCTGAAAGGCTTTATCGGATTTGATCACATTACAAATCCGTATTAACACCCCAATGAATTTCAAAAAGATATACTCGGCGTCAATACAAATGCAACACCCTAATTTTAGGGTGAAAATTATTTACTGGATATAACTATGTACAAAAAAATTTAAGACATCTTTAACTTTGCAAAAGTAGTTTTTCAACGGATGAATGGCTTTCATCCCATTACCGGAAGTTGATTTTTAGCCCTCATAACAGAAATAAAATATTAGCATTTTTATAAAATATTTAACAATATTTTTATTAAATATTTAACAATATTTTGGGTTTTTAAGTTTTGTACTTTTTTATCATAAGTATTGTACTAAAATCCCGGGAAAATATATCTCTTTTTCAGATGTGATACCTGTATCTCCTCAAAATTACCGAAAACACGCATTTTTATTGCTGGAAATTCTCAAAATAAAGAAAAAAGGAGAGCTACAGATGCAAATATACGCTACATGAGGACTTTTCAGGCTCATGTTTTTCAAAAGCATGGATGAGAGCTCATTAACGGGAAGT